GATGACAAGACGAATTGAGGTCCAAGTGACTGTCTGTATGCCCGCTTTTCGCAGCGATAACTTCAGTAAAAATAAGAGCTATCTTGATGAAACTTACTATAAATGTTCTTCGACACCCAAGAGAGATTGGTATTGCAGATGGACGTAATCGGAACACTGCTTAAATGAAACCTATAAAGTGTCATTACAAGCTCTAAATTAAGATAAAAAACTGTAATTTGGTACAGGGCAGTAGTAGTACGGCACACTTGTGGGGTAAAGATTGTTAAAAGTGGGCGTGGCTCCACCTCCTAAAAGGTTTTCTGTACCTATCTTCCAAACCGCTAAGCTAATCAACCAACCTTGCTGACGAGAACTCCCTTCAGCATTTCTTCAAACACTGTGAAAATGGACAAGTCAGATAGTAACCATGCCATTCTCCATATAATGGTTTTTTGAAAACTACTACCCTTTCAAGGAACCAGATACCAATTATGTGGACTCCAGTGCATATGGCTGATTTTTACCGAACATATCGGTCAGTCTGTGAATTTTAGTATTGAAATTCGGTGAGAATATTTTATGATGACAGCATGCCCTTGTACCTCAAACGGCTAAAATCGGGTCAGTATTGAGCCTCCTATAACTAGTTTAAATATTTTCGAACTCCTGGTTGACTTTATGCAACATCTTTCAATATGTATGAAATCTGTGTAAAATTCGGAAAGTACATTTTTAATAACTGTATATCCTCTTGCCTAAAATAGATGAAATCAGGGCAATATTTCCCCTAGTTTAATATAAAGATTTACCACCACCTGAAGGTATTTTCCGTCTTCGCTCTGTGCCAGTTGCGAGATGTATAAATGTTCGAACTGAGCCCTTCCTTGTTTAGACGTGTGGTTTTCAACGAGGCTATACTTTTTACGGAGTAGGTCTCTTTGACAGCTGTTTGCTTGGTCTACGAGGGTTGCCGTTTATATTTCGGGATTAGAGAACAACAACGAATGTTAATCATTAAAACTCGATTTATTGCTTTTAGAAATATTTTCCATTCTCATTTATACACTCTTGCATGCGTTTGATCCAATTGTCGAGGCACTTTTGCCAATCTGATTGAGGTGTCTACAAACACTTTATTGCCACAGTTAATTTGAGTAGTAAAAACTCACCGAAAGCTTACCATTTCATTGTCTTGTGTAGCAAATTGTATCAACAATCGTAAATCTAAATAAAATTAATTTTTCTGCAGAATGGCTTTTTGGTCTAAAGTTATACCTTCATACACTCTTCTTCTAAGCTCGCTTGTGGCTGCTGTAAGAATGTAACCTACCTTATATATGTCTTATAATAAAACAATTATATTATATAAACCAATTTATTGGCCTCATCTTCCCGACCTACATATTTAGTCATATTTAAATCCATACTTATCTATGTAATACTGTGCCCATTAGGCCAATATAGGAGAATTATATTATTAATACCAACTAATAGAAAGAAATATATAAAAGACCACCGATTTTTTTTTTCAACAGGAACAAGATCAGGTTTGGTATTTCCTTAACTCATAGAGACATTTAATTACGTCGGCTAAGGCAAATAAAGTGTAACTTGATGCGTACGATTTTCGTCCATTCTACGCATTGGCACACCTAAGGAATGAAAATATAAACGATGGAAAACGATAGAGGGGAGGAGCAATTAAGTATTGTCCCATACCTGTCGAAAATATTACTCCACTATATCAGTACCCAAAACTGGTATCGCTATAGCGACGGAAAATCATACACATATATAATATCAGGTTTAGTGCTCGATTTGTTTTACAAGAACATAACCTTACTTAACACATACATATGTAGCCGTATATACATTCAAAACTATTCCTAAGGTCTCTTATTGACAGCATTGAATATCCTTAAAGGCGGGTAGGGTTTTTATTTTCGAAAAGTGGATTTTTTTTCTCTTATCTTACTGTTTAACATTTCAAGAATA